TAAAGAGGTAGTGTCACTACACAACCTGAATACTCAAGTTTGAGTACCATTCATATCAAAACTTTTTGAGTGTCAGCTTAGACAGATGAACAGGTTCACTGCAGAGTAGCAAGATCAAGTCTTTTCTCAATTATGATCTACAGAAATAATGTCAGATGTTTACACACATCTGGACTCTGGTTGCATCAGTGTCACATATGACATCTAACGCAAGGCATCCAAGTGACAGCTGTGGCTATGATGTCATGCTGGCTGATCAGGCCTACAGCAATCTCACTGGAGTGACAAATCAGTTTTAAGGAATCATGTGTGGCAGAGAAAAAATATAATACAGATTGTTCTGGGACCAAACCTTGAGCCTCTGCAAGAAGATATACCCACAACTCATGTTCAATTACAGGTGTGACATCCATGTTGTTAGTTCACATCCTACACCCTGCTTTAATGGGAGCAATAGCTTCTTAGCCAATTGTACGCACAATCAGAATCTTAGCAATAATGTGAGAACTAACTGAAGGGTCCAGGGCAAAAAAAAATGACTTTTGTTCTAACTGAAATTTAATTTTATATCACTTCATAGCAAAATTTTGGAATGTGTTGGTGGAACAACAGTGTGCAGCAAGTGGCTAGATGCAACGTTACAGGAAAATACAGCCTCACCATCGTGTGGTTGTAAATGAGCTCTTAAAACATGCTGATTTGTTAGATTCTAAAGGGTTCTAACGAAGGTGAATTGCTGGGTGTTTGGATTTTGTCCATCATCCGGTATTCTAAAAACTGGATTGAGGTTAGCTCTTTCTAAGGGACCCAATGGAGTAGGTGTGTCCCCCATCAACTGAGGGCACAAACAGATCCAGTTTCCAAAACACTGTGTTCCCTAGTTTTCAGAATACTGGACAACAGACAAAGTCCAAAAACCCGGTAATACTGAGTGCTGTCACATAGTTTTCAAACAGTCTGTTAAAGCAAGAATCACATCCTTTCTGTACTGGGCCCCTCTAAACCTTTCCTTACCCTTCTCTCCAGTAGGTTTCTGATGAAGAATTATACGTCACATCAGGTACAACAACAGCTGCTGGCATGGTCACCCCTTATACAGGAAATGTGAGAGAACTGAAATGTCATATCAACATTGGTATTTATGTCAACTTGCACAAGTATGTACGTGAGCAACAGACAGCCTCTAACCCAATGTTACAGTAACAGGATTCACCATCTAAAGTGAAACCCAACACAAATTCAAGGGTCTTTACACACACCTGAGATTGTAACCATGAAGTCCTCTGAAATGTAAGGAAGTATTAAACAGCAAATTCTCACATGCATATGAATGAATCTGTCACTGAGTATAAAATTTCAGCACTCAAGCTTCAAGGAATTGTTAAAAACAACACTCGACTCTATAAAATATGTCATATTTATAAAGAGGTTTACATATTACAAATCTGAACATGTAAGCACTGAATGACTCTTTAGAGGTATGTAACGATGGCTGATTCATCATGTCACAATTACGCTGAACACAACTGTAAACATACTACATATACCTCAATGCTCAAAATAACTCTGTGGAGTAACCTAAACACAATGAGGATAATGTCATTTTGGGTGAATACTGTGCGTCGTTCTGCCTGACGCTGCAATGAAGCTGCTTGCCAGGCACACTGATGCTTGTCACGTTTGTTACGCTGTTTGTTCAGTCAGCACACAGTCATACTGTGGGCAAACTGTTCAGTCAGCACACAGTCATACTGTGGGCAAACTGTTCAGTCAGCACACAGTCATACTGTGGGCAAACTGTTCAGTCAGCACACAGTCATACTGTGGGCAAACTGTTCAGTCAGCACACAGTCATACTGTGGACAAACTGTTCAGTCAGCACACAGTCATACTGTGGACAAACTGTTCAGTCAGCACACAGTCATACTGTGGACAAACTAACATTACACCACATGTACAAACTACAATGTAATGACGTGGCCTCAATCTGACAACTCAGGCTACACATGTCCCGTTTGTCAGTCATCTATGGGTCATGCCCCTTTTTGGCATTATAACACCATGAATGATATGTAGGCCAGTACCAACCTTCATATTTAGAGTAGACCAAATTACACGGCATTGCTTTCCAGAAAGATGGAATCGTGACATTTAGGTGAGTGAGAATTTTGCTGATGTTATGAAATCTGAGAGTTCATCAGGATATTTACAGATGTCCTTGACACCTCTGTACCCTATTCTGAATTCTTTTCATTTTGTTCCTAGGTACTGGCAAAGAATCTCCCTAAGTCTGGCACACAAGGCTGCGCCATAGCTCAAGCAGTTAGTCGCTGGCTTCCCACCGCGGCAGCCCGAATTCGATCCCGGGTCTGATCAAGTGGGATTTGTGGTGGACAAAGTGGCGCTGGGGCAGGTTTTCTCTGAGCACTTCGGTTCCCCTGCCAATCATTGCACCAACTGCTCCACAATCATCCTCACCTATCATCTGGGCCTGGTACAATTGGCCAGAAGTGGCCGCAGTACAAGGGACTTAGTCCCACCCCACTAGCAATAAAAAAAAAGTCTGACACATTGTAGTACTAAGTTTTGGGGTTGCTGGTGGCATGCCCAAACCACCCCACACTGACTGCCCAAGAAGGCCTATTCAGTGAATTCAGAGATTCTCCATATCTTTATCTGTTTGTAGCAATGACCAATTTCACATATCAAACCTATATCAAAATAAAATAAAATCATACTGTCTGACCCATGCATGCTTTTAATGTTTCCCACAACAAAAACAGTAAAATACCTTAAAACGTAATTTAATTTTATTCATTACATAAGTTCTGTTATTCTGAAAATGTGCAAGAAATATGGACAACCGAATTAATTGTAAATGCAGAATTTCCATGAATGAGATACAACTTTTTATAACAAATGAGAGTCAGTCTTACAAAGACGACCTAACCTGAATGTACTATTATACTATGTACCCAAAACAGTATTTATTCACAAAGCCTCACAACTTCTTAAACAACCTTTATATTATGTTGTATTTTAGCGTCCTGTTGCACTGATTTTCGTCCATGATATGTATGCAGTGTCCGTCTTTTAGTGCACTCAATTTCACCTGTTATTTCACAACGTGTTTCGGCACTATAGTGCCATCATCAGGTGCTCCATTTACGTTAATCTATTTCATTGCTTGCCATTATGTCAGTGTAAAATTTAAAAAGTATTTAAAAATGTTCGTCAATTATAATAAATATTTATATACTAAAAACTTGTTAAGATTATTTATCTTATCTGTCCCAATATGGCAAGCAATGAAATAGATTAACGTAAATGGAGCACCTGATGATGGCACTATAGTGCCGAAACACGTTGTGAAATAACAGGTGAAATTGAGTGCACCAAAAGACGGACACTGTATACATATCATGAAGCTTTATATTAAATACAAATTCTTCAAGGGCCTTTATTTTCATTAGATTTTAGATTTTCACATTTTATTGCATTTAGTCATACTTTTAAATTCTACCAATGTTACAGCAGTCATTTTGAGCCTATACCTGGAGAATTTCTTGTACTAGCAGAACATAAAAGAAATACAGTAAAATCCATAAAAACCCAGTAACCATTCTGCTGCCTAGCTAATGAGTCATATTCTTGATGCTAAAATGAACAGCAAATCAAAATGAAACTGACACTTTGTAGAAACTACTCTGCACTGTTAAGCTTTAGAACTGAACACATTAACATCATCCCCCCACCACAAGATCCAGTTAAACATTATCCTTCTGTAACCTTCTAAGTCTTTCAAGTGAATGCCTTCCAGCAAGATCAGTTACCAAAACTGATTATGCATTTACTTACCCCAGCCACACTGCACGTCTGCCCCATGTGACCTCGATCATACCAAGTCATATTACTGTATGTAAGTGATAGGAATTTGGGCACACAGTAGCATAGTTGGTTGAGGCACTATGCTACAAGATGGAAGGTCGTGGGTTCAAGTCCCAATGAGGTCATTGGAATTTTTATAATTTTATAATTTTATAATTATAATTTTATAATTAAACAAAGTCATCTATCTTATTAAATCCTTACGAGATTTGGTCAGTCTTCCAATTTTGAGAAGTGTGTATTTTGCGAAATTTGAATCTTTATTGAGATATGGTATTATTTTTTGGGGCTGTGGTCAAAAGGACATTCAAACTGTATTTAAAATCCAAAAAAAATGTTTAAGACTGATCAAAAGAGTCAATAACAGGATATCGTGTACAGAATTTTTTGGTGAATTTAAAATTTTAACCTTAACTTCATTGTATATCTTTGAGACGTTGTGTTTTTAAGGAAAAATAGGATATATAACATCTCGTATTCAGATGTGCACGGTTATAACACAGTACATAAGCAGAATTTGTATGTCCAACCATGTAACACCTCACGTTGTAAAAGGAGTGTGATTAACATGGGAATATGATTGTATAATAACTTGCCCTCTCAAATAAGAGGTATTCAGGAGTTCAAGGTTTTTAAGCGTCAATTAAAGGATTACTTGTTGTGCAAAGCTTTTTATTCCCTTCAAGAATATTTTTACAAGAATTAGCTTAATAACAGAACAAAGATACTTGGGTAATTTATTTTAGCTATTGCATGTAATTTATAGTTTAGCTTTTGATGCCTTATTATACTCATCCACTGTTTTATCATATTTAAAGGACTTATTATGTTATTTTTCTATGGTTTCTTATATTATTAGTCATTTGATGTGATGTTTTTAATCTTATATATTTTTTTTATAAAAAACTGACTTGTCCAATTGTACATAATGTAACAGTTATGGATGTTAAATAAATAAATCAATCAATCAATCAACCTAATCCTTCCAGTCGCACTATGGCCCTCTAACAGCCTCTAACAGAAATGAGTACCACAAATATTCTTGTGGGTAAAGGGTGGCCAGCGCGTAGGACTGACAACCTTGCTGCCATCTGTGAGCCAATTGTCTAGAATATGTGGGAACCTCAACATCCCACAACCCTATGGGCCTTCACGGCCTGTTACAGGGATACCTTTACTTTAATTACTTTTACTTAAGTGACAGCAATTACTTGAAAAGAATTGTGGGTCATGCGGGTCATGCATACTGACTTGAAGAGCAGTACCACTAACACTTACTGGAATAATCAACCAAGCAAATTCGTTCTGTGGCTAAACAGATCAGTTCTGTTCTTGGAAAGTGTCAGCTCAGCGTTCTTCTCACATTCCTACGCCTTGATATTCCTTCTGGCCAACAAACACCCGCACAGCATCAAACCTGCAACAATCATCATCTACACATTACCACTAGCAGGGTACCATAAATTTGCTCGCCCAGCCACCACCTCCTGTAAGTTACTGCTGACCAGTGACAAGTACTTTACAGCCTCAGACAAAATATACTTATGAGATCTGTAGATGTATCTTCCTATGGGATTGACACTGCAAGTCATGAGAGGTGCAGTCAATGGAATGAAGTCCCCTTGTATAATTGCACTGCAGTGCTTTGCATACGCTGTACCACACTACTGTGTGAAAGATGCAGGAAGCAAATTAAAGAATGTATTACATTTTATTCTCAACGTCTTGTTTCTAAACATTATGGCATGTCCACTGAAAGCCAGTACTTTAGAGCCACCAGGGACAGCCACTGCTAGGGAACAGCTATGCAAACATGCCAGATACACACGCGATAATGGAAGAGACATTTTCTGTGCAGTCCCAGCTGTGATTATGAGAGAATCTTCACGTGGCAGTTAGAAGAGTAGGAGGTTGGTGTGAGATGGCTGCCAGCCTGCGAGAACATGAGCCCCGGAGCAGAGGAACGTCCACTGTTGGAACACTAACTACCGAGCAATGTGACTGAAAACATTAGCCTGTGTGTGATACTGATCTATAAAGGTGCAGTCTTGAGTTTTGTGTTGAAGTGTCTGAATACCAATCCAAACCCCATCTATAGTCACTCAACCATGTGGCAATTAAAATGAAATGTAACAGTGAGCAACTGTATCTTGTTATAAAGTCAACTGATTTCTGCTGCATTTCTGGAGCCGTGATTACTAGACAACCATTACATTGACTTCTGTTTGACGCAAAATGTCACACAAGCTCACATGCTGAGCACCTGAAGAATCAGTCAGTATCAAAGCATCAACTTGGAGTAATGGCACAAGTTCAATCCCAGATCAGGGCATGTGGGATTTGTGGTGAACAAAGTGGCACTAGTGCAGGTTTGCTCCAAGTGCTTCGGATTTCCCTGTCAATTTTCATTCCACCAACAGCCCATTATCACACAGCACAGAGTCTTGATACTGACAGCGTCATTGAACAACCAACTTAAACAAAAAGAGAAATAGAAGCAATACTTTACCAAGTTCACATACTCATGGCTGCAGCCCACAGTTTCAGTGATGCCAGAGGACTTGGCATCTGAGTCTGCATTTCAAGTCACAGCTGCGAGACACTTCCAACAATAATTACTGTACTCTGTTCTAGGATGAGGGAGCACGCGGTAGCATAGTTGGTTGAGGCACTATGCTTCAAGCCGGAAGGTCGCAGGATCAAATCCCAATGAGGTCACTGGATTTTTTCGATTTAGCTAATCCTTCCAGCTGCACTGTGGCCCTGGGGTCGACTCAGTCTTTAACAGAAATGAGTACCAGGAATATTCTTGGAATATTCTTGGGGGTAAAGGGCAGATAACCTTGTCACCATCTATGAGCTTATTGTCTAGAAAATGTGGGAACCTCAACATCTCACAACCCTATGGGCCTCGACGCCCTGTTACAAGGATACCTTTACTTTTTCTTTACTCTGTTCTAGGATGATTTGAGTTAGCTCAGCCTGCAGGAACCCAAAGCTTCATGTGTGCCTACATTATGGATATACTGGGCCTGGAGTGGGAATCCAGACGAAGGTGAGAAATAGGCCGCGATAATGTACACGCAAAGTAAACTCTAGACATGCACAACATGACTTAGTGTTTCAATATTTGCACAGCTCTAGATCATCATGAATGTATGTAGCTATGCTAAGCAGCTGAGCAGGGTGCAGACTGCCCTGCACAGGGATTCACATATCAACAGGTTTTCTCTAGCACCTCAGTACTGCAGCCAGGGTCAGAACCCCCGACCACACAAGTACAAAGTGCAGCTTCTCCATATTGCTAACGCGCATTTTGGTGTTAACACAGTATTTTCTGGGTGGTTAAATCAAGGTTCAAGACAACTCTGCAATACAGAGACCTGCTATTTAGCATGAATCCAAATACTGCAAACCTTCTCACGACTTTAAGTTCATTTATGCTTACCAGGTCTAATATAAATGTAACATAAATTAAATTAAATCAGCATTGAAAATGCATGTTGCAAACAGGCACGTTCGTAACAACCACTGCATGTTGTTAGAAACACTGGCTGGCAGTGGCAGCAATGGGATTTCTTTCAAAGAGAGGAGTCAGCAAAAAATTTGCTTACCAACTTATGTTTAATCCATTTGTGACTATTTTTGTGGACTTCCAGTGACTGTAGGTCCCTATACTGAAACATAGACATAGCCACAAACTGTGTTCAAGACTTCTGGTATTAATATTTGGTGTATTTCCTTCTTTCACCGAGGGAAGAAGCTCCCTGCTAGCGCCCATGCTCATAGATCTATGTGATTCAAACTCAAAATTCTAAAATTTTGGTGTGGATGCTTAGAAATATTATGCTTATTGTATGTTCAATTTACATATACTAGCCCAACAAAATTACAAAAAATTAAATTAACTTACTGTAAACATAATACCCTACAGTGAGGTCACATTCGAGTTTTTAGGGACTGTAGGTCCCTATACTGAAACATAGACATAGCCACAAACTGTGTTCAAGACTTCTGGTATTAATATTTGGTGTATTTCCTTCTTTCACCGAGGGAAGAAGCTCCCTGCTAGCGCCCATGCTCATAGATCTATGTGATTCAAACTCAAAATTCTAAAATTTTGGTGTGGATGCTTAGAAATATTCCTTACTTATTGTATGTTCAATTTACATATACTAGCCCAACAAAATTACAAAAAATTAAATTAACTTACTGTAAACATAATACCCTACAGTGAGGTCACATTCGAGTTTTTAGGGACTGTAGGTCCCTATACTGAAACATAGACATAGCCACAAACTGTGTTCAAGACTTCTGGTATTAATATTTGGTGTATTTCCTTCTTTCACCGAGGGAAGAAGCTCCCTGCTAGCGCCCATGCTCATAGATCTATGTGATTCAAACTCAAAATTCTAAAATTTTGGTGTGGATGCTTAGAAATATTCCTTACTTATTGTATGTTCAATTTACATATACTAGCCCAACAAAATTACAAAAAATTAAATTAACTTACTGTAAACATAATACCCTACAGTGAGGTCACATTCGAGTTTTTATCACTACACAGTCTTCTGTTCTTCTTAGGCATTCATTTAAGTCATCTTCTGTTGGATTTGAGGTTCTTATGGGGGTGGTTATGCAATATGATGTCCTGTAGCGTGGTAGAAACTCATCCGAAACGTCGGCGAACTTTTACCGGACTACACGGCGTCACATCCCAGAAGATGACACTCTCCCAGTCTTCTTGGTCTTTACAGTGTCATTACGTACCTATATACACAACATTACACACTAGATAGCTTGCTTACGTAATAAAAGAAAAACTGAATATACAAATATATATTAATACAACGAAATGTGAACATGTAAGTCAAGTACTTACATAGTAAGCAAGAAATACGTATTTAACCTCAAACGATGCTTCCGCCATCCTCTGCGCATACAGGTAAACAAACCAATCTCCCATCTGCCGTTTCTATCATAACTACACTTAAAACGTCTTAACTGTATAAAATATTGCAGTGTTATTGATCCTAACTTGCATAAAAAATCTATTTTTAAAATGTATATAAATGTTAATAATTCACATAGTGAACGACCAAGTATGGAGGAGGGGTAAATTCCGGCATATTGGCTACACTGACAAGCCTCTGATATTTTGTAGTTTAGCTAGTAGAGGTCTGCAGTATATGCGGTATAATCTTGTCTTTAATAAAACTACGACGGCTTGCTCCGAAATTTGCGCCAAACCACAAGCAATTTTCTGTTAAAATTCAAATGCGAAATATTCTGTGGTAGAAGGCAAAAGGTAAAGTTTCCCTTGTGCTTAATTAACTAAACACTGTACCATGTAGACGTATGGGGACGTGGAAGCAAAAATCTAACATTCTTGGCCTCGACCATAGACGGTGGTGAATGGTCAGCTATACGCTCCTACCGCTTTACCCCGGGGAAACAGCCACCGGTACCCATTGTATAGGAGACTGGATGGGCCCCAGAGCCGGTTAGGACGCTGAAGGGTAGATAAAAGTCTCTTTGTTTCTACCAGGAATCTAAACTCGGCCGTCCAGCCCGTAGCCCTTCGTAGTACCGACTGAGAATTAATGCTTTGTGCTTGTGAGAATGCTAACAATTTTATGCAAGAACAGAGTGTGAGCTTCCGTTTAAATTGTCTGACATTTAAATGACTGACACTTTTCCTTAAACTGATTACTGGGCGATTAATAATTTGGAGGTTATTGCTATCTGAACGGCACTGATTCCAATTAAACTGAACCAGTGATCCTATCAACTTTCCTGCAGTTATCTATTCCCATGGTCAAGCAGGGAATGCGCAAACTTATTCCTCTCGTATTTCGTCTTAAAATTATTTTGTGGGTTTTTTTTTTTTGCGGGGAGGGGAATAGAATCAGGTTTATTGTCACTATTTTAAGTGCAATAATTTATGTACCTAGCTTGCAATTAGATACTGTCGAAAGATTATTTACAAAGAAATACGGCTTATTATTCTAACACCAATCAAAATATTTAAAAGAAAGTTTCAATATCCAGGAAAATGGGGAGACGGTTGATGCGGCGGCTTGGGGCTTGTATTCATGAGGCACCACATTCGAATTGTAAGCTCCGGTTCGATTTCCTCAGTCCCTTCAAACAAATTCCGGAATAGTATTTTAAAACAGGCCATGTCATATTCCTTCAACATCTTAGCCAATCCATCATCTGCAGGCATCCTATAATTAGGCGCTACGTAACATATGGGCTGAAAAAGTGTCGTTAAATATTCTAAGCAACCACTGACGCTCCGAGCACCTGTATTCAGACGGAGAAAGCATACTTTTCTCTATGATTTGGGTTATTTTGGACAAGGGACCCGCCGTAGCTCAGGCAATCAGGCGTGGAGCAGTAGGTTCGATCCCCCGAGTGGCTTAACTGTAGCAATAATCAACACAAATATTCAGTCGCTATAGGAAACGATACAGAAATCCGAGTTTTAAAATGGGGTTTCTCCCAGCTGCACTAAAATACGAGAGTCGTTAATGGTCACAAATGGAAGTAAAATACCGTATTTACGCATGTATAGGCCGCGTGCGTGTATAGGCAGCAGCACAATTTTCAGACAGAAATTATAGAAAAAATAATTTTCTTGGAATATTATTTCAGGAGTAAAAATTATTCCGAAATTTGGCAACGTTTAATTTTTTTAAATGAAGTGTAATTTCGAATATTTCGAATATACGCCGCACCCCAGTTTTCCTCTTGAATTTTTGGCAAAAAAATGTGCGGCCTATACATGCGTAAATACGGTAGCTGTAATGGAGGAGTTCTATGTGTATCACTAGGTAGCAGCACTGTCCAGCTTCATAACAGTATAGGCAGCAGACGCGCATGCGCATATTCAGAGGCTGGTTTCAGTAGTCAGAATGACCACCGTCTTTGAGGTGTATACTATCGAAGAGCAGCGTTCTGTTGTGTGTATTTTGTGTGCAAAAGGACTCAATGTAAAGGATATCCATAAAGTAATGTTTCGTGTTTACGGTGGGAAGTGTTTGCTGTGCAAAGCGTTTCAGCCTTGGTGGCAAACACTTCGCTGATGAAGAGGTTGAAACGGAGGTGCGGAAGTGGTTGAGACAACAGTCAAAAAGACTTCTATTCTGCGGGTTTCAACGCACTGGTAAAACGATTGGACAAGTGTATCAACGTTAGTGGAAGATATGTCGAGAAATAATTTTTTATTTAAGATCGAAAAGAACATGTTTCACGTTTTATATCCATTTGTGACCTACTTACTGCGTAAGATGGGGTATAACATTCGGACTGGCAACTGTCCATGGATGGCAACTGATGGGAATCATTGTTCTATATAATAAAGCTCATATGACATGAGGGGCACATATTTTACGTACCCCTGTTTCAGTTATTCAAATTTCGAAATCAGAACCATGACGGGCCCTAATGAATCTCTAAGCACGCCAAGTTTGAAAGGAAGAATCCATTAATTACATCTCCTCACGTCAGATCTCCTTCACCCTCCCTCACCCGCACATATAATGTCCCTATTGCATTCTTCTTCCTCTTCTTCATTTTGCTTCTATCCACTGTGAGTACGGACCACATTTCTCATAGTCACTAATCATCAGCTGTAGGCCTGTAACCAGGGTACCTGCCTGCCATTCAGCAGCAGTCCTTTTTTTTTTTTTGTATAAAGTGTGATGCATCATGGGAAGAGAGGAAAGGAATCCAGCTTCAGGATTTAGCTCCCTCCTCTCACCTTTCATCTTTGTTTCTTCCTTAGCCGCTACCCCCACCGCTGTGACCTAGACAATGGCGATTATAAACGCTGTAATCCTTATTCCACTCTGCACAACAGCAGGCGGGGTTAGCTCAACCTATGGACTGGATGACGGGGGAATTGGGTTTCGGTTCCAGACACAGACTTCTGTAACAGTTTCTAAACGTTCTTGTGGCAACCTGCGGCGAAGAACAGAGGAATAAAGTATATGCCGGACTGTGCTGACCACACTTGAGCACGTAAATGGATTCTGGCGAGTGACTGCGTTCTGTCATGACATTAAATCATGTCATGTTCAGCCACTAAACTTAGCACGTCAATTAACCTCGCGCAGAGCGGCCTCCGTAGTCTAGGGGTAACGTTCCCACCTCATGACTCAAGGTACGCGGGTTCGGAGGTCGTGGAATTTTTAAGGGCGGAAATATTCAGGGAACAAGTCCTCCGGGAGGGACTTTAAGCCGTGGGTCCCGTGTCGTAGCTTTACGGCACGTAAAAGAACCTCATGCCTCAAGAAGGCCTCTGAGCCAAATTATAAGGACATTTCCAGCCCAACAATAGTCTCTAACGCCTCTGGTAGATGGGGGAAGAATCTAGATACCGCTGAGCCAGTAGAGGCCGAACTCGCTGGCTGAGTCGGGACTGATGGCACGCACCAGTATCGGTAGGGTATAGAGACTGGTAGAATATCACAGAGGGACGTACAATAGACCACTGGTCGCGATGCATGGGGAAACACACCTCCTCCAATAATAATAATAATAATAATAATAATAATAATAACCTCGCGCAGTGACCGCGAGAACATCGCAATCACACAACGCTGTAGTCCCTGTTCAATGGCCACCAAGGGACCTATCCCTTCGTTCAAAGGGCCGAGGCGTGAAACTGACCACTCACCTCAATCCAGTGCCGAGGAAAAGAATGCATGGCGTTGTACCTCCACTCACCAGTAAGTTTACATGGCGTATTCCTTAATTAAACGCAAATAAGAAAAGTAAATCTGTCCCTGTAGCAGGCCGTGGAGGCCCATAGGGTTGTGAGACGTCGAGGCTCTCACATTTTCTCTTGACAATCGGCTCACAGACGGCGGTGAGGTTGTCAGCCTTAAGCACAGGCCGCGCATTACCCCCAGGAAGATCCCTGGTACTCATTTCTGTTAGAGGCTGAGTCGACGGTGTCGACCCTAGGGCTATAGGCCCGCCGCAAATTGAACCCAGCACAGGCCCAGCCCACGCATGGGAGATTCTATGAAACAGTTTGTAGTGAAGCGGCGCATATTGGGCCCACTCCACTGCCAGCCCAGTTTGTCGTCAACCAGCCGTGGGTTTGTTTGTGAGATTCGCACAGATTTCGTGGGTCGTGGGACGCGTGGGTTTCTTTAAAATATGTGCGACGAAAGTTTAATTGAACTCGTGCGGGAAAAAACAGTATTGTACGATACAAGTCATCCAGACTACATAAGGACGAAATTGAAGGATGAAGTATGGGATGAAATTGGCGCTGAACTCGGTTCAGACGGTAAGTTTTGATACTGTTTTATTTTTATTTATTATTAAAGAATTAATTAAAATATTAATTGAGAGAAACAAAAAAACATAAATCACCTCAGCTCTACGTTAGCAAACATCTACAACGTAAGAGAAGAGTAACAAACTAAGTACGCCTGATATTTGTTAATAACTGTTGCACCCAAACTTGGTTAGCTTGTGATGCTATAAGGTCAATAGTGCCCATTCTCAACTGCTCTACGTTGCCACTCAACAGAACCTTGTGCGCTACTGAAACAATCTTTGAATTTTTTTCGAATTAAAAATGCTTGTCTTGAACCTCTAATACGATTTTGCTGTAGAGGAACTAAATTAGAGTCACTGTGAGCGGTCATAAGTTCGTCGTCTTCTTCCACTGAGTTCGATTGTACGACCTTCGTTCTTAAATAATTGTGAAGCACGGTCGTAGCCTTTATAATTTTATCGATAGTCTCTAACTTACATTCAAAACGCCTTTTGTACACGCGAAATCGTGTTGATAAAATTCCGAAACTGCATTCTACAGTTTGCCGGCCTCGAGATAATCTGTAGTTAAACACTTTATTTGCAAAATTGTTAGTTACTCTGAGTTTAGGATATGGGCGCATCAAATTCCACATAAGTGGGAACGCTTCATCCCCGAAGAACACGCAAGGGGTAACTTCATTTTGACCAGGTAATGGTTTGGAGTCAGGCAATTCCAGAGATCCATTGTGCAACATAGTTCCTAAACGGGAATTAAAGAAAACGTTCCCATCACTAAATCTACCCATGGACCCTACGTCAATGGTCGTGAAACGATAGTGAGCATCTACAGTGGCCATTAAAACAACGGAAAAATATTGTTTGTAATTATAGAATGAAGAGCCACTGTGAATTGGTTTGCGAATGCAGATGTGTTTCCCGTCAATTGCCCCAACGCAGTTGTACAGTTGCCACTTCCTTTCAAACTGTAGGGATACATCTTCCCACAGTTCTTTAGATGGTGTAGGCATATAGATAGGCTGCAAACGAAGCCACAATGCGTCGCATACTTGAGAAACTATGTTTGACACGGTCCTTTCTCCCATTCTATAACTCGCAGCAATAGTTTTGAACATATCCCCAGTTGCCAGGTACCTGAAACATATGATATTAATGTACTTATAGCATTAGTACTTGCAACATTTTGAACTTCATTTGTGAAATACATATTACACTAGCCCTATATTAGCTATTCTGAATTTCTTAAATATTAGGTACATAAATCGTTTTTTGTTTTGTTTTCAGGCAAAACTGCGAAGGAGCAATGGCGAAAACTTCGAGAGCGTCATCGGGAAGCACTGCGAAGACAAAAAATAAAGAAAACGGGGTCCAAGGCGGATATTCAAAGGCCGTGGTCTTATCAACACCAGATGGAATTCTTAATTCCGTACATGAAAAACAGATCTACATGCACAAACATAGAGCAGCAACCTTTGGCAGACATTAGTGCAACTGAACATGGAGCGAAACGAAATGAAGAAGATGCTCCACATTTTGACCAAGACGAGCCTGAAGTAGGCAATTGTGATGAACTAGGAAGAAGTCAGTCTGACCGCTCCGAAACTCCTGTACCAAAACGCCCTAAACTCAGCGACCAAACCGCCATCCTTCGCTTTATAAAAACCTCTGAAATGAGAGCCAAGAATCGTGATGAACTGAGAAAAACAATACTTCAGCGTGAACAATTAACATTGCCTTTGCAGAATGATGCGCTGTTTCACTTCTTTATGTCAATGTACAATACAACAAAGGGTCTTTCGGGGAAGTACCAGCGACAAGTTCGAAACAAGGTTTACGAAGCTGTTTCACAAGCGGAGGAAGAGGACGAACTTGAGAAAACTACAAGAACGTCTTCATTTTCTCCATCGTTTTCGGAGGAAACTGGTAGTTCATCTTCCAGTCCCGCTACTTTGCTAACAACACAGTACCCAGAATTTTTCTTTGAGCCGGCTTCGTCAGAGGCATTATTACAACAAGAATCCTTACCTGTAACCTTACATACCTCGGGGTCATTGCAGCCTCTGTGATTCTATATGTTTTGTATGTCGACTTCTTTTTAATAAAGTTAATTCAAGTAGTGATTTTATCGTTCTTCTTTTCTTCAAATTCATAGGCAAATGTTATTAAAGCACATTTGGACATTTTTACGTTAAAGCAACATGTTTTAACAACAAACTAGGTAAGCACAGCAAACAATCTTACCTGAGGCATACGGCCAATTTTTCCTCACTCCTCATCGGTTTTTGAGCGTTGCATTCTCTCCCTGTAATGTCGCTTTTTATTAATTTATGCACTTCGTCAAACTGCATTCTGTTGAGGCGGAAACAACCACTAAAAACGTTGTCTGGAACTTCCTCAGTTAACAAAAACTCCCCTCGAGTACTTCGCGCACCTAAGTAAGCACTTCTTTTACTTTTTTTCCTTTTTCTAGATTACGAATACAATAAAACTAGGTCCTCAGTTTCTGACTCAGAGTCTAAATCTATGAGGATTTGATCAAGGGATGCCATGATGTTAGGTGCTGACGTGGATCAGTACTGGGTTCAATATGCGGTACCTCGATCCAGCCCATGGACGTGAGATCCATAGGCTAGGCGTGTGCTCGGCGTGGGCTGGGCCTGTGCTGGGTTCAATTTGCGGCGGGCCATAGTGCTATGAGACAGCCACTCCCTTCCCTGCCGAACCTTACAGCAGGTGGGGGTGAGGCATTTGGCTAGTCTAAACCGCGCAGGCGGCCCCTTTCGGGGGATTACGCCCCCGTCCGCTCAAGTCGTTGAGTGGGTAATACCCAGCTCATTTGGCGAGAATCGCACGCACCCAGAGACATCCCATATTTCTAGTGATTCGCCCTGGAATCCTCCGAAACGTCGGTTAACACCATAGCTACAAGGCGCCACATCACAGAAGACGGCTTTCCTCGTGATCATATGACAACTTCACAATTCTCTCAGCGTAATAAATCATCATTCCACAGCCTTTCATTTTGAATCCTGTTATAGGTGTTGTTTGCAAAGTGTCCTTGTACAAAGTTGTGTAAACAGGACTTGAATGTACTGGCAGAAAGGACTCCCGGTCTTGCTTGTAGGACGGGAGGCAACTGTTACTTTTATTAGCCACATTCCTTCACCTGAAGAAAGCGTCATTTTAGCTGCGCATCATAAAACCCTGAAGCACAGGTAGTTCTATGAGAGATCAGGAAATTTTAGCGCTGTAATTCAACAGCGAGTTCTCCTTCGCAGGTAAGAATTATTGTGGCCACCACAAAGCTTGTAGGATGTTTCTAACTAGATTTATCAATGGCCTTCCGCGAACCGAGAGCTTTTAGTGTCCTTTATCCCCCCCGATACTTCGCAAATAACTGTTTCTCTCGTATACAGAATCTCGCGATAAGGTGCAAATAAAACAGACCTGTTGTTCTCCAACACCACTGGACGTGAAAACACGTGTTTTCTCACGTTATTTCCCCCTGCCCCCAAGTCATTTCTAAACACTAGGAACCGGAAATGTTGGGGAGTTCCATTTCCTCCTAATAACAGTCACTTACAAATACAATTTGGGAATCCTTGAGAGAAGCCCTCAATTTCATAAAACCCACAGAGCCATCAAGTAGAGTAGATTTGTCCCTCTCTAATGTCAAAATCTGAGCCAGTGGCTGAGCCTCCAGAAGGGCTAACCTCACCAAAAATGAGCCGTTTGCTTGCCCATGAAGCCACGGAAAATGAATAAGATCCAGAACTTCGTGACGATGGTACATTAGTACAAATACTATGTTTCTGAACATTATCCATCGCCCTGTTTGCCCTGTTTGTATTTCAAAACACAACGTTCCGGAGACTGAATTCTATCTCGGTCTGCAGGTAAAACTTAACTCAGTTGGGTCCAGTCGACAGAGCTAGTTCCTACCTCCGGAGTATGTTTTAACAGAAAACGGAGACAGAATCCGGTCTCTGAAAGGTTGTGTTTTGAAATACAAACAGGACAGTGGTTCAGATAAAGACAGGAGGATGGATAATGTCCAGAAACGTAATATTTGTACCATAGATTTTTTCTAGGAACGTTCTGCCTCCATCTTCAGGATTAACATTAAGTCAAGCAAGCAGAGTACTGTTATTAATAAAAATAAAATTAATAAATCGAAACCTGGGTTCGAACCAGGAACCTTCAGATCTTCAATCTAAGTTCCTCCCAACTGAGTTACTTCAGCTCATTGAGGCGAACAGCATCTGACTGATGACTTCTGAGTTTTTTTAATTCCCTTACTGGGGGTGGAGTCCATCTGAGTCCACTCGGCACGGCGGCCACTGATTGGCCTATTGTAGCCTGCCCCGGGTGATTATGATGATGAAGAATTTGGTGGAATGAAGATTGGCAGGGGAAACCGAAGTACTCGGAGAAATCCCTCCCCTGCGCCACTTTGTCCACCACAAATCCCACTTGACCAGACCCGGGATCGAACCCGGGCGGCCACGGTGGGAAGCCAGCGACTATGCGCTTGAGCTATGGCGCGGCCACTGTCTTCTGAGTTAATTTTATATAGTCCCCTAGCGATCAATTCGGTTAAGTCGGCCGAAGACACCAAACAGAGTCAGCTAATAAGAGTGACATTCAGTTAGGCATGTTGACGATAAAACATTCGAGCAGTGAGAGAGAGAGTCTACCAGCAACTCAAGGCGATATGCAGCTGAAAAAATGCTCGTATCTGACCGGAACGCCGTTCCGGTTGACATAATATATTACAAGCGTTCCGGATATTAAGCGGAACTCTATAATATCCATGGCTCTACAGCCCTTGTGGACCTTGACCGCTTTTTCAGTTTCTTAATCCTATACACAACCGGTAGAACGCCTTGGGCGGGGGATCAGTCCGACGCAAGGCCGCTACTTACGCACAGAATAAAAGCACATAGACATGTATGCCTCGAGTGGGATTCGAACCTACGTTCCCAGTGCTCGTGAGGGCGAAGACGGTTCATGCCTTACACCGAGTGGCCACTGTCATCAGTAGAACTATATACAAGCGTTATAAAATATGTTTTCTCAGTCTTCCGGTTGTTATAAGTCAAAGTCAAAGTCACATTGCGACTGACGGTCAGTCAGTCAGTAAGTCTTGGTGTCGAATATTTATTACTGTTTGGCAGTTACGGTCTTGTTTTCGTGGGTGCGCCCTCTCTGATGAGAAGATGAATCTGTCTTTGATATATGCTGCTGGTCCTTGCCAGCGCAGTCTTTCTCGGGTCCGAGTCCCTTGGAACTCGCGACCATATTTTACTGTCTCAGATTTGAGACTTCCCTTTTCGTCGCCTCCTATGACTCGCAGGGTCACGGTGCAGGTCGGTTGTTACAAATTTCCAGTTTGACTAGCTGAGTTAACGAGTTAGATTCCTACCAGCCAATCAGTAAGAGAGTGAAACAAACAGACCAGTGTTCAGGCAATCAAAATTCAGACACTGAATCAATGAAAGAATCAAACAAACTCGGCCACTCGGTCAGGGAAACGATAAACCATTACTGGGTCATTCAGTAACTTCAGTAAGGCGATTCTGCAAACCGTCAGTTTGAAGTTCATGCCCAAGACATGACAGAAGCTGCTGGCCCTCTAACCATTAGTGCTACTGTGTTTGTATTATGTTAATAAGCGACTGCACTAATGTAGATTAGTAATTATAGGGTGTGCCAGCAAAAACAATTAGGCTGAGCATCCGTTGTTGTTACGTCACTTGTAATAATTAAATAATTACATAGCCTTGCGGGGTCTTTACGTCTGAGATCCCCTTCATAACCCTACTGTTCTTTGTTGTAGTTCTGTGTAAAAAGGAGGGCAATTATCTTCTGGGCGAATTCTACCGGTCTCGGTGGCTCTGATACAGAAAAGGGGCTGAGAGTTGGTGAAGCTGAAACTGGAGACCATGTTTAGGGGCTGGAGGCTGAGACAAAAAACGAGCCAAAATAAAGTAGAATTCGGCCAACAGGGGATCAGCACATAACACTAGCAACAGGCTGGTCCGGAAAGAGAGTCACTACCTGTAGACGGTTTTCAACAGGAAAACAAATCAAAGTTTTCTTGATAGAAAACGCAATTCATTTCAGATAAAGGACGAAAAGAGATTACTTTGTAAAAAAGTAAAGTAAAAGTATCCCTGTAACAAGCCGTGGAGGCCTATAGGGTTGTGGGACTTTGAGGTTCCCACATTTTCTAGACAATCGGCTCACAGATGGCAGTAAGGTTGTCAGCCTTAGGCCCCGGCCGCGCTTTACCCCAAGAATATTCCTGGTACTCATTTCTGTTAGAGGCTGAGTCGACCCCAGGGCCATAGTGAGGCTGGAAGGATTAGGTCAACTGAAAAGAATCCAATGTCCTTATCGGGACTTGAACCCACGCCCTTCCGGCTTGTAGCATAGTGCCCCAACCAACTACGCTATCGTGTACCCCTGAGATTACACTGTAGCGGACAAAATGCCTCTAAAAGACCAAGGGATATACACGAAATATGCGAGGCCTGTGTAAACCCAGGCTCTGTAAAGCAGTTTATGCCTTATCTTCGCTAGCTTATCCTACAACGACAGCTTCATGACTGCAACCAAGTACATGCCTCTTAAACCACGTTCTGCGTTGGGCTTTGCCATCTGTGCTGCTCACGCTTCCGTTATGGCCTGCGCGTGATGCCTGCATAATTTTGCGATACAGTCATAAACGTACAGGATTTTGAAAGCCGCGTGCAAATCACGGATCGGTGTGCGCCTCGGAAAGATGCCACTGTTTTGAAGAACTCTGTACACAATCTGTGCATGTCTTCCGATGTGCAGAACACCCAGACTCGTCCATTTTATGACTGGCCTTTTGTTTTCTCTCGAATTTCAGTATTTGTTTCTTTTGTACAATAGTTACGCGAAGTTTATACAATGAATGCATAAACAAAGTAACAGGCCGTGAAGGCCCACAGGGTTGTGAGACGTCGAGGCTCCCACATTTTCTAGACAATCAGCTTGCAGATGGCGGTGAGGTTGTCAGCCTTACGCGCCGGCCGCCCTGTACGCCCCAAGAAGATTCCTGGTACTCACTTCTGTTGCACATGTTCTCACTTGCACATGGTAAAATTGTTGGTGGTCACCCTATAGCAATGGTTTCCGTTCTGGTCGTAAAAAAGGTAAAACCTGTCCGTTTCCAGCAATTCACGCCAGCAACCACTGGCAACCCACCGG